AGGAATGACAGCTGTCTCTTCCCCATGTGTAACCACATCCATTTGCTTAATTCCAGATGTATCCTGTTCCAACTTAATTCCAAATCTACCTACCCAAAAGTTCTTAACCTTAGAAATTGAAGTTAGTTTAAATCTTTGTTGGTGATAGGAAAAACTTATCCCTTCCAGTTTTTCCCAATGAAAGAGGATTTTATTCTTTTTCAAAACATTTGTCAAAAATGCATATTCTTTTCTCTTCCTTAAAATCCTTACTGGTATTTCTTTGAGGACCATTATATCCACACTCTCGGTGTTAAGTTTAGAGTCAAAATGTGCTTGCAAAATCAAATCCCTTGTTTTTCTCCTGGAAAACTGTACCAACACATCTCTTGGCTTACCATGTACAATTGCATATCTGGAATTTATACGAAAAACTTTTTCTATCTCATCTGATATTTTATCTTCTTCCCAGTCAATTAGTTCTGACAAGGCACATGTAATCATATTTGTTAAATTTTCTTCAAGTTCAGGGATTCCCCTAAGCCTCAGACAAAACTCTTTGTCTCTCAACTCCAATAATGCAATTTTGTCCAGTTCTTTTTCCCTTTCATTTTGCAGCAAGTCAACTGTATCATTAAGATTTTAGTCCCTCCTTCCAATTTCTTCTCCATTTTTTCAATTTTTTGGTCAATTTTTTGATCAACCCTTTTTTCAAGTTCAAGAAACTTTAAATCAAGTGCTTGGGTAACACTTTGGGTAATCATTTGTGTAGTTTTTAAAGTATATTCTTCAAACATACCTTTTATCCAGTCAAGTTCACCAGAGCCACGCCTTGTTAACTTTTTGGTGGCCATTGTCTTTATTTCTATTGTCGTCTTTTCCTTCCTTGCTTAGAAGGAGAGAGAAAAAAGCTATTTCTTCCTTTCAGCAATCCAATAATCCAAATATAGTACTTTAGCTCCCTCTTGTGGCCCAAGATAGTATTCCCCAAAATTAAATGTAACCAGATATCCACAGCTAGCAACAAAGCAAAGCGGGAGGAAGTCTACAGCCAATCACAGCTTGAGAAAATCGGCAAACCAAAACTTTCCCACAGCATCTAAAAATAGATCGCTCCAATTCCACGAGAAATCACTTATATAAAAATCTTTCTTTTCAAAGACAAGGGTAAGCTATAGATAAAAAAATAGTCTCCTAAAAGTATAAAAAACTTTCTACAGCACTTTAAGACTTCCAGGTTGCGTGCTCATATTTCAATCCTTCAAATCCAGTACAACACACTTTAGAAATCCCAAAAAATAATGAGAAGAAGTATTTCTGTAGTGGGGATAGCCTCTTTAAATTCTTTGAATAATAAACAACAAAGGTGATTTTAGAAGTGGGGTGGTCTCTTTAAGGAGGCTTTAAACGCAGCTCCGACAAGCTGTTCCACCCACTTCCCAGCTGGTTGCTCACTGTCTGGTCGCATCCAATGATCGTTCGATAAGCTATAGCCGTCCGGAAAACAAGAGGTGCAATTCAAGGCTCCTCCCTGCCCGGAGAATGCTTCGTGTCTCGGAAAAAAATCCTGAGACACCTGGTCTACGATGCTTAAAATTTCGGCTTCAGCAGAGCTTCAGCTGGAATTAACCTTCAGCCATTGTTCCTCCACCAGAAGTCCGTCAAATGCCTTTTCTGCATCCAAAAATATCAGTGCAACTTGTTTTTCATGATGTTGTTCTAGGTATTCCAAAATGTCCAATACATTTCTAATATTATCTCTTAACTGTCTTTTGGGTAAAAACCCACACTGATCTTCATGAATAAAATCCTGTAAAACTGTTTTCATCCTCTTAGCCAAAATCATCACAGTTCAGTAATGATATTGGTTGATAATTTTTTGGTAAGGTCAAGACTTGGCCTTCTTTAGGAATTAATGCTATATTGGCTTCTCCCCAACTGTCTGGTATTCTTCCATTCTTTAAAATAGAAGTCATAATTTTTTTGCAAATGTTGTAATCGTTCATCCTCAAAATGTTTATAATAAGAAGCTGGTAGGCCATCTGGTCCAGGCACCTTCAACAATGGAGAATTTCCATGAGAAGAAATCTGCTAATGGTGCTGGCAAATTGTCTGAAGGAGCTGATTTTATGGGTCAGAACCTACACTTAACATTTTTGGGTGCAAGCCAAGGACTGCCAGTGGGGAATTATAAAAATGTGATATGGCCTATCATACATGTAAGTTGGGATAGATTTCCTTTTTTCCTTGACTTCCTGGTGAGCGTTTGAAAAAACCTGTGTTAAACCTATTTTCGGATCCAAAGTATATTTTGTATTTTCCCATCACAAATAACAGAAAACTATGATAGATCTGATAGAATTGTGAGGTGGGAAGAGATTCTGGAGACCATAAAAAAAGTGTTTGAGGGCCCCATGCAGCCTTGAGCCTCAGACTGCTTATCCCTGCCCTGCACAATTGTCTGTGAAATAAATTTCCTCTTTTATCTTCCTCTTATGTCCTTGGAAGATATTTACAGTGCAGCTGACTCTTGGAGAACAGACATGGGAAGCTGAAGGAACCAGTATTAAAAAGGCCCATCATTCAGCAGCTAGCAAAGCTTTGAATGAAAGTAGCCTCCCGAAACCAACACCTAGACCACCAAAAAACAATGTTAATAATAATCCAGGCAAGTCACAATTCTATTTCTCACAATATTCTTGCATGTGGCTAGAGTAGACTAGCACATTTTCAACTAGTGTTTACTGACAGCATCAGTGAAGCTGAAAAATTGTGGTTAGCAGAATGAAGGAAGGTTAACAATTTGTGAAAGTAAATCTTATCACGGGTATGCACAGTTATTCACTACTTATCATAGCAGAAGCTGCTGAGATGTCATATTTCTCCAAGGTTCACATTTTTATCTTCAACCTATAAACTACATTAAGTGGTTGGGGAAAAACTTAAAGTAAAAAATAATTTTCTTAATGAAAACAATTATAGTTTTTTTGAAAAAAGACATTTTGTAAGAGAATCAAATTCTGGTTCACTTCCTTTACATACACATTCTACTGTAATGTATAAAATTCACAGGAATAGAAGGCTTGCCTATTTTTCTTTGTATCTTGGAAATATTTGTAAATTTAGTTCTGTCTGTGCAATCTTATTGTATGAATCAAAATGTAAGTTAACAGTATCTTAATTCTGTATCACGTGCAAACAAGCTTTAATGAACAGAGATGTTTGCTCATACTTATGCAACTGCCAAACCACTTCTTCCAAATTATTTTCAAAGCATGCACAATCCCAAATAGTATTTTTTTTTTAATCCTCAAATTAAAGAATTGTAATTCTCAGTTTAGATTGACAGCTGTATGAAGAAAGATGGAGCTCAACTGCATTTTATATTGTGAGGTATTTTCCCAGTGACTATAGATACACACTGGCTTCATTTTAATGTAATCTTAAACCATAATTTATGAGAATTATCCTTAAACTTGTATGTCCCTTCTATCTCCTCCTCTGGTGCAGCTATATGGAGTTTAGAAATTGTATTATAATTTTACCTTAATTGAACTTTAATTTGTCACTAGAATCCTGTTAAACTGAAAGAAGGAACTTCAGACATTATAAACGGAAGTTTAATGGTTTCTTCTGACTAAGAAGTAAACTTAACCACAGTTCTCCAGGTTTGGACAACAGAGTAAGCTGTGATTAATCTAAGAAGAATTCATAAGCTTCCTAGTTGTTCTTCATGACTATGTCAGAAGAGGAAATCTTGAATTGCTTGGTAGTGCCTTCTTTTTAATGCTGTTAAAATCTTCTCTCTGTTGTTTAAAAACAGAATAATCAGAATAACTGGCTGCATGAATGTATGTCAGCTTGGTATGTTCTTTGTTAGAATGTTAATCCATCCAGTCCTACGGATGGCCAGTGGTAAAGTATACCGGAAGCTCAGTTCAGCAACAGCCGCAGTAGAGGACTACAGACTCATTATTCTGAAGACTGTATGGATGTTAGCAGGAGATACTGGGCAGAAAGTGAAGTATACAGTGTATATTATGAGGATTGGGATAGAATTATCTCTTACTTCTAAGTTCCTTAATGTGGTACTAGTGCCTTCTGGTATGCCCACGAGCACCTTTCTTGACACCCAGTTCTTTGTTTTGAAATGGTATTTGACCTACCCAGGAAAAAAGAAGCTAGGGATGATAGGAGTATCATGTGGAGCTGGAGGGTATTTGGGAAAGTCACTGTGTGTTTTGCTTCTACACAGTGTATTTATGAGGGTTGAATGAAAAGTAATGTTTGCAATTTATAAGTCATCAACACATGGCAGTGCTAATACACCCAAAACTCCAATATCTTCTTTAGCATCTGTTCTTTCACTTCAGTTGATGGGAAGTTGCTGTGAGCAAACGTTGGTGTTTCTGTTATTTGTGATATGGAAGCCTGCAGTGAGTACACATTGGCGCACTTTAAGCCACATGTCATAACTTATTTTTTTACTGCAAAAGGAAGAAATTCACCCCATATGCAAGTTGTTTATGGTGATGAATATAGTGCATTGCTGTGCCCAAAAATGTAAAGGTGGTAAACCAGGAAGAGTTGATTTGGGTGATCAAGAATAAAGCAGATGACGTCTGACAGCAGCCAATGAGTTTCACAAGAGAAGGTTGATGAACTGATTAAAGACAATTGATGGATCACTTAAAGGGAAACTGCTCTCAAGCTTGGCATTTCACAGGAATGTGTGGGTCACATTATTGATGTTTTTCAACATCAAAAGATTTGGACAAGATTGGTTCCTTGCATGCTGATCGTATATGCTGACTGCAAAGATGAAAGCTTCAGGAATTGAAGTTTGTCAGCAGTTGTTGCCACCTGACAGGAATGAAGGTGAGGAATCTCTTTACAGCATCATGACAGCTGACAAAACAGTAGCTCATCATTATAATCCAGAAGTGAAGCATCAGTCACAAAATATCGTCACAAAACGTCACCCATAGAAAAAAAAAATCAAAACATAGGCTTCAGTAGGAAAACTCATGGTTATTTTTTTTTTTTTTTTGTGACACAGATGATCTTATTCAGATGGATTACTTTGAACCTGGTACCAACTCAGAGTATTGAATATTGCAACTTTTGAAACAATGACTAAGCAGAGTTTGGAAGCAAAGAAAGAACTTTTGCTGCAATGTGACGCTAGGTCTCACACCTCCCAAGCTATCCAAGACACAGTTGTGAAGTTGGATCTTGCCATCTTACCCCATCCCCATTTAGTCCAGAGTTGGAAACATGCAACTTCCACCTTTCCCTAAAATTGAAATAATACCTTCAAGGGCATCTGTTTGACTCAGATGAAGAGGTAGAAAGGATTTCAGGCTCTAATTGCAGAGGCAAAGTATGGAATTCTTTCATGATGGCTTTTAAAGCATATCCATCATTGGCAGAAGTGTGTAATGAATGGTGGTGATTATGTGGAGAAGTAAATTCAGGTAACAAAAGAGCTCATTCCAAGGATTATTTTCTTGTTTCATTTATTAAACTATCCCTTTTTAAACTAAAGTTATGGAGGTGGAGGCATTACTTTTCATTCAACCCTTGTGGCTTAATTTTTTCAATAGTGTGTGTGTGCGCGCACACTCAGGCACTAGTTTTGATTCATTTTGCTTTGCTTTAGATTAAGGTTTCGTAAGTGTCCGTATATGTGTATTTTCTGGATTTTATTGTATGTAATGAGCATTTTGCCATTTTTCCCTTTTTTAACTGTGTGTTTCATTGAGGTCCACCAGCTTGCCTTCAGTAAAATAAGTACAGTGGTACCTCGGGTCACGAACTTAATTCATTCCGCGACTCTGGTCGCGACCCGAATTGGTTGCGACCTGAATCAAATTTTCCCATAAGGTTCAGTGTAAATACAGTTAATCAGTTCTGACCCCTACGAATTTGGTCGCCAACCGATTTTGGTCGCAACCTGAATCAAATTTTCCCATAAGGTTCAGTGTAAATACAGTTAATCAGTTCTGACCCCTACGAATTTGGTCGCCAACCGATTTTGGTCGCAACCTGAATCAAATTTTCCCATAAGGTTCAGTGTAAATACAGTTAATCCG